AGAAATGATTGACTCTGAATATGCAATTGAAGATGAAAAAATAAAGGTAATAAAAGAATGAGAATCTGTGCTCAAAGTATTAAAAGAAGAATTTGTTGTCATTGCCCTTATATTTGTCTTATTTTGTTTTCTGGTTTTTAAGGAAATTCTTGCACAGTCAGCTAGTAGAAAAACTCAAAAGAAGAAGAAAAAGAAGGTATAATTATTGTTGACAATTCTTGACTTTAGCTGATTTGTAAATATGGCCTCGGACAGTAGTCAAACACAGTTAATTGTGAAAAACAGCAGCTTTTCCAACTAGGAGTCAGCCTTTAAAAAAACTATGAAAATATTTACTTCCAAGATTTGATTAACTGCTCAGATGTTGAATGTTGTAAATCATTTCACTTTCAGGCTTCATCAAAGGCATCAGATGCCACAGCAGACTCCAAGGAAGAAGCAGATTAAAAAGCAACTGCAATACAGTGACCCAGAAATGATTGAGATGACAAGTTGTTGAGCCTATTATACATACCATACTTGCTCACTTGTTTTTTCCCCTGTTGAATATTATATCATCTAGTGAATCCATTGACGAACATGGATTCTCAAAGATGTTTTGAAAGATTGTTAGGTTTTCAAACTTTTTTTTCTCTCGCAAATTTGAATGTAGGACTAGGAATATTGTTTATACCCAAACTTAAAAACAAAAAATGTTTTGATGTAAGCACACAATCTTTTGTTTTTCTCCAATTGTCAGCCATAAATGATTACTGCATAAATGATTACTGCATATCATTTTGTAACTGCTTACATACTCTTAATCTTAAGAAAACATTGATGCAAACATGCCCCATCACAAGGCCAGAACCCCCACTTCTTCCTGCCTATTGGTGATCTGACGAAGTTTGGATATAAAGTCAAAATTGATATGAAATGACCAACTGTTGAGAAGATGAATAAAAGTACTCTGCTAGCAGGGCAGGTTAGGCCAGGGAAATATTTTTTTTTGCTTGATGCAGTTGATCTGTAATAATAATCACAACCTGAAGATCAATATTTTTCCAGTCATTAAGTACAATGCAATGTTTCTTTGATGACAGCATTCATATTTATGTCCTATGAAAAGTAGTTTTTGCTCAAAACAAAATATTTTTGCAACATCAATGCAACCTGTTAACAACTGAATATTTGACAATAAACACTGTTGTCTTCAAGAATGTTTAATTTSTTGTAACTATTCAATTATTTATTGGGTAGTTCCAGAAAATATCCATAYCCCTACGATGGGCGGCATTGTGGAATTCCAAAGGGGAGGGGGGGTGGTTCATATAGTAAAGTTCTATAGTTCCATAGTAAAGGATTCTGGAATTCCTGGGGATAGGGGGGGAAACCGATTTTGGAATTTCTGAAGAGAGGGGGGTCAAAAATCGATGCCGCCCATCGTAGGGGTATGGATATTTTCTGGAACTACCCATTACAGCACCCATTACTAATTATACATACTTATAATACAATGTGTTGGAGTTGCCTAGGTTTAAGTATAACACCTTAATGACCAACATTTTCACATTTTTGCATTAAACTTGATTGTCAAGGATAAATACACAGATGCTCACACTTGTCTGAAAAAACACACACAAACTTGTTGGTAGTCACAGCGTCCATCTATTAATAAGTATATTTTTATTAGAGTTGTTCYGYATAAGAACGTTAGATATGGAAATCATCRTTGAGTCTTATATTTACACTCACCCTCATGAAATATAAAACATAATGTAAAATAACGTAAAACCTATTTGACTACTACAAGTGATCACTACACCCTAATTTCTATAACCTGGTAAATCTAAAAATCATGAATATCTTTCAAAATTGCTATAATAACTTAAGATTCTACACAAATTCATTGTTYATGTTGGGAAGTGAAGAAAGACATGTAATCTGACTATTCAATCTTTGATGTTTTCACTTCAAACATAATTTGRGTATGTTCTGTGTTGTAAGCCACTGTTCAAGCTCATTTTAGCTTCTGTACATAGAATATCAACTCTTTTCATACTGCCTGATAATTCACTGTATTAAACAAATATGGTAAGCTTCCTTTTGCTATCTTCAGACTACACAATGTTCACCTTTAGCAGTAGCTGCTCYGGTGAGCTACAGCAWGTCAGTKGTTTGGTTCACACATTTTTGCAGCTAAAGGTTGCTATGTTTAACTGTTGACTATGATGGCACATGCCTTCAGTTAAAAGACAACGGCCATTGATCTTCAGTAATAGCACTTGGTGTAAAAGGTTGCTGAGGAAAGCCAGGACCAAAGTTAGCAGCTTCTGCAATCAGTGCATTTGAAAACATCTCGATAGTTTCATCATTTTCTTCACTTGTGACGATTTCTTCATGACCGATGTCAAAACAAGTTGTGTCTCCACTAACAGAAGGAGGGGAATTCATGATACTAGTAACAGCCATGGCGATGCAGTCCTTTATCAAACATCAAAACATTACTATAACAAAGTTATACATAGCATTACTGATTGAATACAACTATTTMAATGAAGATTGTCACTTATTCAGAACAAATGAAGTGACAATTACAAGATACTAGAGTTTTGCTACTTCTGCTGCTCTGAACAAATGGCAACCTTCCTTGAAACAGCTGTACATGTATGAGCAAGATTACTAGAGCGGATTTCGTATGACTGTGCAAAAACACATGGTACTTTCGCGCTGTGACCGTACCGTGCCGTAGCGGTGATGTATTGTTAAAATAATCTTTATTTTCATTTGGAATCCTATAAGGCGAGGTTCTGTGACTGTGCCGTGCCGTGTCCATGTMGTGATCCGTACCATTGCACAGTCATACAAAATCTGCTCTAAACAACGTATGCAAACTACATTCTACAAGGGTTAGTGTTTTAAGAGCATAGCAACAGCTATATCATTATAATGAAGTACACGTATGTTGAAAATTCATAACTATTTACATCAAATACAAGTATGAAGTATAGGTATATGTTTCTTGTATTCCATTGGCAGAGAAACAGCRAACATAAAACAAATCAGCTTTGACATTTACTTACCACATGTCCTTGAGCTCCTGGGTGTAGAGGACTAGCCATTGGTGTGCCAGTACCTGGTTCCCTATCAAAACAAAACCAAATTAATGTATTGAAAACCAAACAAATTCCAACCATGCAAGTGTTCTTTTCCTATAAATTGTGAACAGAAGCAAAAAYGACTAACCCTTTGACTTTAGTGGCCAGAACAGTATCACGATATTCTCCAGGTGAAAGYTGTACATCTATCTCATCTTCGCTATAATGTCGGCCAAAAGCSTCATCTTTTAGCTGTTCAGTTGGGTAAAGGTGGGTAAGTGACTCCAAATCTTTAATTCTGTCTGAGAATTTTCTCATTARAAGGCTGTTGTTTGTCCAGGGAGACAGGTTCCATACTTCACCTAGMAGAAAACACAATGGAAAAGTAGGACATAAAAACTAGGCCAAATATAATAAACTACTAAAAGTACAATTTGTCACATTTACAGGGTTTGTGCAAAATTTTCACTACAAAATTCCAGGACTCTTCAAGTACTTTTTAAGCATAAAATTCAAGGAGTTTTCCAGGAGTTTTAGCAATTTTCCCCATTTTCAAGGGCTTTTCAAGCGCCCTTGAAAACGATTCCAGGAGTTTTCAAGGAGTAGCGCGAACCCTGCATTTAGGTTATTTTAGCTCACTTGCATAAGCATTGAAGAATGAATTCAACATGGTCTCATTAAAGTGTACCTGATGGAACTGTGTAGGCAATTGTAACACCACCAAGCTCACTGTCACTAAACCGAACCAAGAAAACCCCTGGACGATGCTTTAGAAGTTCATCTTGAGCATCTTGCTTACTGATAAAACCATAAATAATTCTACAAAATAACACAAAAATATAAAATACAATTGAGAATACAAACTTTTGAGCAGAAAAACCAAAAACAAAGAAAGAGAAGAGAAAACAAAAGAACAGAAAAAGAAAAAGGAACAAATTGTAACAATGAAAGTGAATAATAGAAGAAATGAAAGGCACTCAAAAAATAAACAAATGAAAAAATGTTGATTGAAAAGAGAAAATGAGAGAAAGAATGAAATTACCCATCTCGCCATTCTTCCAGCATGTTTCTTTTCACAACATCAAGAATGCTATAAAACCATTTCCAAAATGTAAAAGTTCTACCATTCAAATGTTCCTGAAAGAGCAATTATCCTATGGGTTKGAAATGACCTCAACAATGTTACATCAGTAGCAAGGGGTTACTCACTCTGCTAAACTCAGCCCTGGATACCTCACGGGTTTGTAGGTCTTCCTTACTAACGCCTAAAAACGTAAATTTAAGTTTTAATATGGGATTGTTGAAAATGCAACAAGAAGACAAGAAAGAAAAATACAACAGATGAGAAAGAGAAAGGGAGGTACGGAAGGGAAGAAGAGAGATGAAATGATTAAAGCAATTTGAAGAGAGAAAAGAAGAGAAAATWCAAAAGTGAATGGCCAGATGTTTGCTGTCTCACCTGGAAAAAGTTTCCCTGCAATGTATAATAAATTTTCCTCGCTGAGTTCTCGTTCATTGGACAAAGTCCATCGTCTATTCAAAGCCTCAGACAACTGTGGCCATGATACCTTGTCAGGAACATCAAATGGTATACGATTCTAAAATAATAATACTTAATGATAAGTAATACTTATCTCAATTTTTATTTTCCTAAGATAATCTGACACATGACATACTGTACTTACACTGGCAGCAAATGCATTGTCCCAGATGATGGTTGCTTCAGCATCAGGGGACTGGTTACCATGGACAGTGATGACCGTTGGAAAGGAGAGGGTCTGGGKAAKAGACAGTGAGCATGGAAATAAGCTGTTGGTTAATAAGAATGTATCTTGGATGGATAAATTAATAAATTGATGGAAAAACCAGAGAGTGGATGGATGAGAAAGGATGGACAGACATAAAATGTTGTTTACTTATGGTAGTTACATCAATATATGGATGGATGGATGGGAAAAWGGATGAAATACAATAGATGGAAATATAGATCAATGATAAGAAAGTAAGACGGATAAACTGCTTTATGAAATTTCAAACAAATAACTTAAAAAAACAGTTAATTGAAATCTGAAAATTGGAAAAAAAACTTGGTGTGCGATCACAGTGTTAAGCATAAGCTTGAAAATGGAAGAAGAAAACAAAAAAAGACGTGCTGGGTTTCTTTGTTAATTTTTTTTTTGTCTTTACTATGTTTTTTCTTATATTACATACAATTACTAAATACTAGTAATGCTTCCTTTGTCTTTTTTTATGCTTTGGCTTCTGTCATTATGGCAAACACCAGAAAGTCATGAGTCCTCCACATCTCTACACTTACCATAACTGTATACTTTTCCCGACCTATGTTGATTTCTGAGACAAACTGCAAACATCGTTTTTCCTCACATACACTCTACAAAATATTAAATAAGAATCAACATTGCCAGAAAGCTACCACTAACGTGCACTAATAATTACTGGTAATGATATAATAATWAGCTTCTCTCACCTCTTCCTTCTTGCCWCCTTGTCGATTTGCTCGTGTTACAGACTATCAATATAAAAGTTGTWWTTGTAAGCCTTATCCTGTCTTTGACATTGCTACATGACCATCCCACACAAAACTCATAGAATTAGCAATAGACAGCCATATATCTCACCACTCTGACATTGTTTTAAAGCCAACTARCATTAAGAYCAATTAAGCTTCTTGGTTGATTGATAAAGATAGCAGTCTATTTCCAAACCAATGACATGYTGTGACTTTGGTCTGGTCAAWGACAGGAAATAAACTTACCAAGTTTTTGAATTCAACAGCAAATGTGTTAGTCTTTTGGTTGTATTCCATTGCCTAGTATGATCAAAACTCAATATTAACAAAATTTATAATAGCTAATTTGAATAAAATATTACAAGGAATAGTACTCAATCCTAAGAAAATATGAATCTAAAACTAGTCATTGAATAAAGATTGATGTGTACCTTTTTGTTGTTTAAAATATTTTTATCTTGTGGTGGTGGGCTTCTGCAGTAATAAAATGTAACAACATTACTATACATACGTACCCAAGAACTATACTGTTAGTAAACTTAGCATGGCTACATTATAATATTCTGCTACTGTCAAATAGTTAATCTCTACTTGCAGGCATTCATAAGAGGGCAGCTCTTAAAATTCCTTTTAAATTCTTTGAGCTGTCCCCCTTTGGGAAAATATATTCAAATAAATATTTGAATATATTTTCCCAAAGGAGACAGCTCAAACAGATACTTTTGCTGTTTCCTAAGGGGGCCTGCTTAGAGGAGATTCAACAAACTGTATTTGAATCCAGCTTGCACAACAATAAGTACACATCTCATAAAAGTTCAAACTACTTACATTTTGCCTTTAGATTGATAGAGTGACCTTACATATTTTTCACTACAATTGACAAAACCAACATGTTAATGTGTGATAAAGAATTTCATGATAATTAATAAATCCAGCTGACAACTTACGATACAAGAGTACAAGTAACATCTGGTGGGTAGACATGAGCATTCAATTTACCGCCAATCAAATGTCTGATGAAATGAAAAATATTAAGATTAGTGATATAAGGGACAATAGACCTTTTTGACATACAAAATCATGATATTGTGATCTAAGTTTCAGTACAAACTATGACATATTTGGCCATATGAACAAATTAAAGATGTTTGTCTTGGCCACAATGCAAAGCAAATGCTATATTTTCAGAAAAGGCCAATCATTTTAATTGATTAATTATTCTGATTAATTGCGTTCATGTGCTTGACTGGTTGAATGAATATTAATTGATAAATTTATCAAATAACTTGTTGAAAATCAAATAATTGTTGACTTGAAGGATTGACTCATTGATAAGTTGATCGAGTTATTGATTGAGTGAAAGAGTGATTGASTAGTATTGAATGGTTGATTTGATTGATTGATTGACACGTTGAATGATTGGTAAATTAATAAATTGCATGATTGACTGGATAAAAGAAATTGATCCAATAAATGATTGACTTATTTACCTTAGTGTGACACCAAATTTAGTATTGGTCTTCAGTACTTGTAGAGGGTGTTTTTCAATCACAAAACATCTGTGAAAGTTGGATTGAGAGTTTTATTTCACTAGCATGTGATATCTAAAGCAGGTTTGTCAACAGATACATATCAATGATGAAGTTTGAAATAAGGTTTGGACCTTGGGAAAGTCTATTGAATCAAATTTCARCTGTATTGTTAGACCATGTWCTGGGGGCTACTTTTCTTACTTGTTTAAAAAATGTGACAACAAACTTCTTGYGTTTGATTTCAAGGTGTCAATTCTTTCTAACTCTCCTTTATCCTGCGACAASGCTGGTCGAAACATATTGTCAAGCTTTAAAATATGTTGATAAAGCCTGCAGAGCAACTCTGTTTGTGATTCACACCTTAAAAGAAGAGATTATGATTTTAAAATCAATAATAAATCATTAGGAATACTATAATCCACAAAATGATGAAAATCGTTCTGTTTTGGACATAAGATTATCAATGACAAAGCCAGAAGAGAAGGAAACATTTAATATATATATTCCTCTCAATTCATTCTTTCAAAATCAACATTTATGTTTTTATTTATGTTTGAAGCAAATTCACATGATAAAGTAATGGAAATCATTTAGTTCCTACTTACAATGGCTGTAAGTTGTCAAGTGATTGTGGCTTTGGCCAACCAGATAAGGATTTCTGCTGGCAACTTGTCCAATTATTGATTTCTAAAATAATACTCTTCTGAATCTCAGTCAACCTTTTGTAGTGATTTGACAACTGGTTATACAATGACTAGACAAAACAAAAAAAAACAATATGAATCATAATTAATTAGCTTGTAACTATGCCATATAAATTTATCCAAAACAGATGTTGTATTTTAGAGGCCATTCATAACTCTTATGACATGAGTAGAGTGTGGTATGTTGKCTGGCAAGAAGTCTGTAAGAGCTTGAGAGAAACAATTCTACATAATACAACAAGCTTACCAATCTCTTTGTGACAGTGAGCTCATTCCCTTTAACATTAAGTTCTTGCTGGATGGCTTTTAACTTTTCATCCAATTGTTTTATCTATATTTTGCATAAATAAAAAAATCAATTAGTGATATTTTGAATCAAATGAGCACCACAAATAAGTAGCCCACAATATTCATAAAATAAAATCAACTYTATTAAGTTTCATATTTTCCATTTTATTTTTTCACAGTGGCATAAATCAGCTGCCTGTCCTAGTAACTACCTTTTCAGCCTCCTTGGGTTTGCCCACCATTGCYTTCTTGTGGTTGTCAAGTTGATCTTAAAATCAAATCATTGAAATTATTTGCTGAAGAAAATAATTTGACCAAAAACTACAAACAATATATTAGTTTTATTGCAATTGACTGACAGTTCTTTGACATTCTACCCTGATAAAACCATTTCAAGAGTACATTTTAGGGTGTTAATAAAAAATAGCTGTAATACTCCAGTTTCGAATTCTCCAATGCTCTGTGTTAGCCTCATTTGTGCAAAAAATATTCCTTATTGTGAGCGTAAAAGTGTGAGATTTCAAATCAAATTTATTGTCTTTCGTCACAAAATTCCATGCGTTTTCTCGYGCTATTAATGAAACAAAAGAATATGTTACTCGGTTTTGAGGCTAACACAGAGCAAGTCAGAACTCGAAATTGGAGTATTCATGTATATTTATACAATTACTTATCAAACAGTTGAATGAGTTCCATAGACTTACTGGCTTCTGAAATCTTTTCTTGGTACAGAATAATATACTGTTCTTTTGCTTGTTCAACTATTTTTGACAGTTGTTCATTACTCTATAAAAGATCAAAATTTATTTTAAGATTGATAAAAATACATATAATGATGTTTCAGTTTATCTWAATATTTTTTTATAAAGTATAACATGTGTTCTGCTGATAATCACATCAATAATATCAGAGTTCATATTCATTTTTAAAACAGCTYTCTGGTCTTAAAAGCCAAAGGCAATTGACAAAAGAATTGCAAAACCGCTCACTTGTATCCATGTAGGAGTTTTAAAAGCACTCAAAAAGCTACAATTATGTCATTAAGCTTGCTAACTTGTGCTATCAATATCTTCCTTCCTGAGTATTTTTTTATATAATATATAGTATTTTCCAAGTGAGTTAAGGAATATTATCATAGGATAGAACTGGACAAGTTTCACTTTACAAATGAAACTAGACGCTTTGTAAAGCGTG